CGGTTTTCCAAGCGGTTTATGAAAAATAATTTGCAAGATAGGAAAAAAAAATATGACTCCGGATAATCGAGCCCTTTTCTCCGGATAATCGAGCCCCGGATAATCGAGCCTCCGGATAATCGAGTCCGGCCTGTAGTACAAAAGTGTGTCAAGTTTTGACCTGCGTCAAATATGGTACCTCCATGGACCAGCTTCTTGGGAAAACAATTACAGGGAAAGCCAGAAACCTTCGGGTAAGTGAAGAAATTGTCAGAGGAAGAACTCAAAAGAAAGTTGCAGTAGAGCTGAAAAAGCTACCTGTAGAAGACGGAAGCTGGAAGAAACTTCCTGAGATAACTTGAAGGAAACTTTTGAAAAAAAAATTCGGAAAAGCTTCCAGCATAAGCCCGAAAGGTTTTGGGGTAGTAAGATGAAACTTCTAGGAGGAGCCAGAAGAATCTTCTGGAAGGATGTCAAAAGGCTTGATTCTATTTTGGCATTCAAGCTACATTACACAGATTTCATAGCCAAAGCTAGCAGGTAACTTGGATTCATCTTTAAAATCTCTGATGAGTTTCGGGATCCTACCTGTCTGACAGCTCTATTCCACAGGAAAACAGATATAACACTATAATGAGAGAGAGAGAGAGAGAGAGAGAGAGAGAGAGAGAGAGAGAGAGAGAGAGAGAGAGAGAGAGAGAGAGAAGGATTAGTAATTTTCATTTAATTCCACTACCTTATTTGCTTATCCTTGACAGATACGCGTATTTCGTCTACAATGTGCATACTTCTTTAGTGTCTTGTACTAATACTCGACTTACGTGTCTTGTACTAATACAGTCGAGTATAAGTACAAGACACTGAAGAAGTCTGCACATTGTAGACGAAATACGCGTATCTGTCAAGGATAAGCAAATAAGGTAGTGGAATTAAATGGAAATTACTAATCCTTCTCTCTCTCATTATACAGGTATTCCACTAAGACGCCCACATTCATAAAGATATAACACTGTTAATATTATTGATAGTAAAACATCTTTCTTAGACACCATCACCATCTGTTGACCACATTGTGGAGGGCAGTGCGCTCAACAGATGCTGGTACTGTTCAAACGTCAAACCCCATAGCAGATGATTAGGCGTGCGTCCAGTGGCTACACTACCAACTAACAAAAAATTAAATCAACCGTTAAATGAGTAAACGATCAACAGCATATGAAGAGTTCTGTCTGTTTGTCTGTGTATATACTGTTCTCTAAGCGTGATCGATCTTGGAATTTGGTGTCGGTATGAAACAGTTTGGATAGCGAGGACCGAGTCTGTTCAGAGGAAATCTGTTTGTTATGCATTTCGCCACCTTCCTTAGAATGATCAAACGAACCTTCGCCATACGAAGACCATTGCCAACTCTTGGGTATTGAAACTCTTGCACGTAGGCGGAAGATTAACCAGGCAGTAATCGGCAAGCAAAATCGACTCTCCCGGGATTTTGACTGAATTCGAAATCTATGCACTTGAACGAGTTCTACGATCGAGGAGTTTCCTGCGTCTCGAACCGCGAGCAACTAATTACGGATTACATGATCCAATACGGTTTATGTCTGCACGTTTCTATGCATTTTTCGACTTCAACTGCACAGCGGAAACCTTTCGTCGCCGGATTCAACGTAGTCTGCTGGATAGGAGGTTAGGTGATGGTTCGACACATGCAACTGCTTTCAATCAGCAAATGTGATAATTTTAATTTTAATTTTAGTTTAGTTTATTTACGCGGTGATGATGTTGGTTCACTCGCAACTAAGTGTTTTTGAACGAAAGTGTGCCAAAAGTGTTTCTAAACGTGTTTCGCAGTTGGGTGTGATGAAATTCGTGCATTCCCTGTTGATTGTGGAAATCCGTACCACAAAATTGCCCACCAATTCCTTTTTTTTTGCCGTTCGACGACGACGGGAGTGCTTTCGCGAGAGTGACGTTTATTTGATCCGTTTCTTTGCACGGGTGTGTTTTTTGTAACTAGCGTAAGTGTGCCTGCGATTTGCATTGAGTGTCGGAGATTGTGAGTAAGCTGAAGGATGCCTCGCTGGATACGCCCAAGACTGGACGGGCGGTAGCTGGTGGCCGTGAACGGTTCCTGAGGAAAGCACTAGATGCGACCCTCCTCCCAGATGATCATGGCAATGCAGGAAGTATTACAACAAAGGTAATTGCTATTAGATATTTTCGCAAACAGTGACGTATAGCGGACATGGAGAACCAGTGGAGGTGCCGGGCAAAGGTGTTATATCCTAGGCAAATGATAAGTTACAAATTCGCTGTTGTCGTTTTTTTTTCATAATGCGTTTATTTTTCCAGGCTCATTTTCCGTCAACACATTCCTATCCCTTCCTTTCTTGACCTGTATTCGGGCGCGGCCGGCGCTGGTATTGCCTAGTTTGAGATCACCAGTTTTTACACATTGAGAATGATTGCTAGTCCCAAGCATCGTCTATTGGTTCTCTGTGTAACTACAGCTGGTCTGGCAATAACAGAGTAGCAACCGTGGGCGGTCAATCATGCTTTCAATCAGCAAATTTTTGCAAGACGATGAGTAGCTGTCCATTTAATGTACATCACATGAATTATGCTACCAAGAACTCGATTATGCGATTCAAAAGGAATCAAACCATCTATACAGAAGAAGCCCTGCGAGAACTGCATCCCATCCCCAAAGGAAACTGGCTGTACGTCATGCTGCTGTACTGACTGTGAATTGTCGCTGACATACGGTTTCGAAAACGAAGTTGCAAGTTGCTGGACCTGATACTTGGCTACCTTCACTCGGATCCAGCAATCGACTACAGCCGATTATCTTTTATCCCAAGCCGAAGGATCACTACATTTGGACACTTCAAACTTGTTCTACATAGGACGGGACTAGTTTATGTTGATCCCGATCAAGCGAACCGTCTTTGATTGGAACGGATCCTTTCCGTTGCACTAACTTTGTGAGATCGTATCTGATTTTATATATTTAAACTAAATTTACATGATTCTCTCAGCACCGGCCACGTCCTCACAGTCTTTTGGGGAGGGAAGGATGATTAGTTCGATGGCCGTTGTTACTAGAGACCGAATACACCTATGCATCTCCTCGGCTTTCACGGGGAGGATAGTTGTGTTAGTGAGGTGGGTTATTTTTAGATCAGGATTCAACTGTGGTAAGTGATGCGATCGGTTGGTTAAAGCAGAATTCGTTTTCATTTAAATCTAGTGGGGATAGAATAAGGCAAAGTAGAAAATTGCAAGGAAGGGGACGGACGGGCCTGGGATTGAACTCCCGACCTTCTGCTCAGTAAGCAGAAACGGTAACCACTGAGCTACCAAGCCTCGTCAAATTTACATGATTCTCTTAAATTTGACAAATTCTTAATGGAGTTTTCTCCATGCATCCTATTTTTTGTGCCTTCGAAATCATCATTGAACGCCAAATGATTATATTATATACTGGGTTGGGAGGGCAGCCTAAAGGATTTGTTGACTGGACGAGGGTTCGTGGATTTGCCAGTCCCTTGTCACGTGATTACAGATGACCATCTGGTTGTTTTGTCTTCCAGAGGTCTTCAATGAAGTTGATTCACCTTGCTGCAACAAACCATCAAGCAGAACTTTACAACCGGTAAAGTATCTGCAGACATTGGTAATCCTTGCACTGATGGTGGGTTCCATTCACATCACATCACATCACATCAGATGAAGTATGCTACCTGTTTCCTTTTTTGTTTCCGATCAACTCTGCGATGATGGCCTCGACTTGACTGATCCAACACTGATGCAAATAGACTTAAGAATTTCATAAGGCTCGACTTATGAACAACACATATGAATTTCATAAGCGTGACTTATGACATATTTTCGTCTAACATGAGGTAGCTCTTATACACCTTTAGCCATTCCAGTTTCCCAAGCGTTGACAGACGAGTGGTCCAGACACAGAACCATAGAGGTAACTCTAAGACCAGAAGGTCTCGAAGAAACGTGCTCAACTTTTTGGCACCCCTCGAAACATAGGAAAATCCACGAACCCCTCATTTTATCTGTTAAACTTTCATAGCTATTAAATACAAACATAGTTTAGTACTAGAATTTCGACTAGAATGGAGTACGATAATCGATTTGCTTGGGACCAATAGAACCGCAATCTCAACATCCATAGTTCGGTTCCAGTCTGTTCTATTTTATATTTTTTCCGGCATTATTTTTCATAAGGCAAATCAATCAAATTTATACCGATTTCTTGTGGCTAAAAGTTATAATTGGTTCTAATGGAATTCTTACGTTTTTTGCCTCAGTAAAGGGCTCCATGCCATGGGACGAGATTAATATTTATGCTGAAGACCTTATTATTACCGTGGACCCCCGGTAATCTGACCGTTTTGATCTGAACACTTTTTAGTTTGAACCCCGCTAATCTGCACGCCGTGCAAATAAAAAAAAATCTGACGTCATTTACCAGATGAAATGGAACGCTGTGACACGGAACGCAGAATAAAAAAAAACAGCAAATGAGGCTACCAGAAACTTCCTTTTCCGATGGTCATAGGGTTACTAGAAGTTAAAATTAAAAATTCACCCCTTAATATACCTGAAGTCGACGGTTCACGGTATTATTATTCAGTGTTTCTTTTTATAATTATTGTTCTATTTTATGTTCTTTTTGATATTCCGAAAAGATATGGTTTTTTCACGCCTATTTGCGCAAATATATGAAAAACAGGCTTTTTCCCATCAATATTCGATTAGACAACAACAGTCCAATGAAGAGAATAATAAGTAAATAAATGAATAAGTGCCATGTCCCCTATCTTGCATGTGAATGATTTTTAAGTTGGTTCACAAACTTTATGTAGTTTTGGCAAATAACTGAAATCACTCAAAAAAAAAAAAAATTGCTCCAAAAAGCTAAACCTAATAGCGCAGCACTGTTATACAAAAACATCCCAAACTGATTACAGACGAAGAAAAACACTACATCCGCTTTTTACCATGATTGTGCACTGCCGTCGATAGAACAAACAACAACTGGATATAGAAACGACCGGTGAATTCGCGAATCATTGTCCTGCTGTTCACTTCTTCAACTACTGTATCCCGAGACTGCGAATTGAAACCCGCGCGATTGCAACCGAATCTAGAACACGACTGAACCGGAGGGCAATGTAATTTCGCGTACCAAAAGTACCAAGCTGAATTTTCACTCTCGTTTTCCATATGTTATACACGGCAATAAATGGTAATGATGATGAGATGCGCTCATCAACGAGCGCGACACTGACGATGATGATGATGACGGTTAAGAGCTTTTCCCAGCCCACCCACGCATGAAGCTTTTCGTCAGCGATGATGACGATGGCTCTGGCCGAGCGTCGTCGATTCAATGAGGCAAACAATAGATGACTCCACCTGCATGGTTTAATGGCTACTCTCACTATACCGTGCACGGGACGGACGGGACTAGCTCTATAGTTGCCTCTCTAGTACCAACGCAAATCCCGTCCCATGCACGGTGTAGTGAGAAGAGCCCTTTAGCTGTCGTCGGTGATTTCAATGCCTGCGAAAGCGACGACGAGATCAAACGACACATGGTTTGCTCTCGGAGCTGCGAGTTGATAATGCTGCTGCTACATTGCTGCAGTTTTTTTGTTCCCCGGAGTGTTTAAGGAAATTATGCATGGCGAAAGATTGATATCGAGACTTGAGACGGTTATCTATTGCCTCGATAAATTGCTTGCTAATGGTTCCGAATTCATGTTTTATTGTTTTAGATTAGATCTCGTTAGCGGTGAGATATGATGTCTCGGTTATCTCAGCTACTATTTGAATTGAGTTATTATTGCCTCATGGCATCGGCAATAAATGAATCAGTCAACTCGCGCCGATTAGATATTGAAGGGACCGTCGACTGAGGGAGACTATCGTTTTACGGATGTAGATTTCTGTAATGAATAAAAGACTTTCAATTCATTGAAGCATCAAGGTGATTTATTAAAGGTTCTGTTAAGGGAACGTTATAAATTGTCGATTATCAACACAAAAGTTAAGTAGTATAGGTGATTAAAGATAAGACGTCAGTTTCATCTAATGCTCGGCTAGACAACTTGAACGATACATTTTAAAGAGAAGAAGAAAGAATGCTCCTCATATTTGATTTAAGTTTAATTTTAGGACGACGATGCCCATTCTTTCAGTCCCTACTATTCACGGTTTTGGGTTCAAAAATTTTCCCTCGGGAAATCCCTTATCACACATTCTTTTCGCGGGGATTAGTTTTACACCTTCGTTCGGTACACGTTAACTGTGAGGGGCGAAAACTACTTTGCTGCTGTTACGCTACTTGCATACAAAAAGCTAACTGATTCCCTCGGATTCTGAACATCAGACACAATCTAACTTAACTATTAACTGGGCGCACAACTTGTACATTCATCAGTTTCTCGTCTTTTGAAGGCTAAGCGCTATCTTTTAAAAATCAAAGTACCCGCACTCACTTCCGCCGAAAACGAAAACAAGTTAATCTACTACGTAAATTTACAACTCCTGGCCTTTCTTTTTCTAGCAAACCAGCTGCATTTTATTATTAAAGTACGCTGATTTTACACATCTTGTGATAAACGTCTGCTGGTTTGAGATTCTTATATTGATCATAAAAAATAAATCTTGTACTGTTGCATACACTAAGGTAATGGAAAAAAAATGTACAACACAATTGTGTCTAAGAAAAGACTTGTTTTAAAAAATCATTTTAGGTATAAACATGTTGCAAAAATAATCATCTTTTAAAAATTATAAACATGGAACCACAACTGCAAATAAATCTAACAAATAACATACAATTGAACTAAATATTACAATTACTAAAATACGTTTAGCCCTGCTTCTAGCTTGTGATGCTTGCTTTGTTTCCCGGTACATCACCTGCACTTCGACTGACATTGTTTGCGTCTTTTGATAACATTTTCTTAATAGCAAAAAAGGTACCAAATGTAAGAACCAGAATCGAAATATCGACTAGCTCTGCAAAGCGAAGCCAACGAGGAAACGGGGCTCTGTTGTGTTTGATTTTGATTTGTTCTACGCTGGACTCAACTATAAAATTAGTGATTTGCCGGATGCAACGGAAAATTTTGAAAACACCATTAATTTGCCTATGGAAGCTGCTGCTGCTGTTGTTGCTGCAACGTGGTTGCAAAACTAATCCGGTCAACCGCTTTTCTCCGCCAGTTTTACCCGCTGCATGGCTTCGTACACTTCGATTTCTTTCTTCTCCTTTTTGGTATTCCTAGCCTCATATTCAAGCCGATGACGAATGATTCGTTCGACAATGTCTTCCGTAGTAATAGTGTTGCCTGTAATGCGACAGATAGAGAGAGAAAACGGTTCGTTAGTTCGTTGTAGATGAAAGTGCTGCTAAACTCGTTTTCACTTGGGTGACACTAATGGGAGGCAGTTGTCTTTGTCAATTTGAGGGAAACAAACTTACCCGAATCAATCAGCATAAACTTGCCCATCTGTTTCGGCACGGCATACGGATCGATGTTTCCAACATCGGTTGCGATCGGCGTCTGTCCATGACATACCACATCTACGCTGAAATGTTCCATCAGATCCTTCGTCACCGAGTACGGTGCTCCGATGACAACCTCGTTGACGTATTTGCACGCCAGCACGCTCAGTACCCGCTCGTGCAGATTCATGATCGGGTAGTTGCCACCTTTGTACTCATTGACCACCGGATCCGTATGTAATCCGACAATCAGATAGTCGCCGTAGGTCTTAGCCTTTTCCAAAAAGTCCAAATGCCCAACGTGGAACAGATCGAATGCACCGGCAACGTAGACAATCTTGTCCGTCGGTTTTGGCGGTTTGCCATCGCTGAACTGGATGATCTTCTGGGTTGTCGGTAGGAACTGGGAGCACCCGGTCCAAGGACTACGCGCCGAGTGGTCCTGTCCGAGCTTGGACGAGCCTACGGTGGTTTCCAATTTATTTTGTATTTTCTTGAGTACACTGTTCAGAGTTTCGATATCTGCTATGGGTTGTTAGTGGCAATCGAAAATAATGGGGTTAGGTTGGTTCTAGAGGAATGGGTAGGTCTTAGTCAAGCGGGACGCGTAGGATTTTTGTTTTCAAATAAAATATGATTAATACATGAACGATGGATGGGAGGTTATTTACATTGCTGGTCGAGTAAGTTTAATAATATTATTAGAAAGTATAGCGTATCAGAAAAAGGGAAATTTATAGATAGAAGCTGACGGTAATATACAGAAAAATTCACAGCTAGAGAGAAGAGGGGTAAAGACAGACACGGGAATATTTACCATCTTTTTCGACGCTATACTCTTGGTCACCTTGTTTGAAATGGTTCCGCGTCATCAGCAGCATCCGGCCGACGAGGTCCGTAGTCGAGACACCGGCGGTTCGCGAAACTTCCCTAAAATAGAATAAGTTTGGTAACGATTAGCTCATTATATATACTCAAAACTGGACATTGTTGAACTTACTTGTAGCGGTTAGCCTTTTTCACTAAGTGGTATGTATCAACGCCTTCGGCTGTGAGCGTAATATCATCTGCAAAAAAGCATACAAATGGATATGTTGTTAATGGGGAGGAACTTTCCGTTGAATTGCCTCATAATCCTCCTTTTTCGAAGAGAGAGTCACGTGACTCGCAGAATAGGGGGAATAAATGCTCCATGGCGATTGTTAAATAAATTGATAACCTACAAAGTAGGCCCAGACTGAATACATACTACATTTTGCGCATTGCACATTCTTTTCTGTTGATAACGACCTAGCCTTAGCACATCTCTCATCGACACATCGTCGGTGTATTTGAGAGGAACTGAAGTAAACAGTTCGAGCCGCCGATGAGGATTTTTTGAATAAATGTACGAAGCGTGTTTCAATCAATATCGTTCAGGTTTGAATTCCGGAAAATTTGAGCTACAACCCTCTACACGGCGAAAGAGAACGACTCAAATTTGAGTTAAGTTCACTCATAATCGCCAAAAGTGCAGGAACTCAGCGATGAGTAAAATTTGTCTCATGGTTTCCTGTGGAAAACCTAAAAAATCTGCCGGAAAATGAGGAAATTGACGAAAATTTTATTCAGTCTCGGAGTAGTACCAATAGACTGAGTGAATCCAATCTTTACTTTTCTCAAATTCAGGATTTTTTCCCTGGAAAATCCTGGGAAAACATGAGGCAAATTAACTCATCGCTGAGTTCCTGCACTTTTGGCGATTATGAGTGAACTAAACTCAAATTTGAGTCGTTCCATTCGCCGTGTACCTTTTTACAATACATCATGACTACCTCAAATAGCATCGAAATAGTACTTAGATATGTAATTCATCGATAATCATTCACATCTCGTTTGTTTGCATTTTTGTGGATAGATAGAAGCACTGGAAGTACAATTCCCAAAAAGCTGAAAATAATTTAACATGACTGGTGATATGCTTCTAAATTCTGAACTAAACTCAATCACATCAATCAGTGGTATTGAAGGACGACTTGAATTGTAATGCGGCAGTGGAAATCATCTTGTCGTTGATATCAATTGCACTCAGTATATAACCGTATAGTGGCACATTCACATTGCTAGCTACAATGGTAAGCGTCAACGTCATATCTCTCATCAATGAATACTCTGCTAACAAGCGAAAGATCTCCTTAGAGTTAAATCAATTTTACCGAACAGTACCGATAGTTATTGTATACGTTGGACTTTCTACGCTGCTCGTTTACGTACACTGAGAAAACTAGAATTAAGGTTTTCATAATATGTTTCGTATGAACGAGCATTTTGAACTTTGAAAAACATTATATATACGACACGTAGGGGGAGGAGGGGCATAGTGAACAGGTGGGGCATAGTGAGCATCCCGCAGTTTGGCTCTGGATCTCCAGCTGCATGAAACAAATCAACTGGTAGTAGGTTCAGTATCATTATGATATTGATCCTACCACCAACCAATTTGTTCCGAACGGCCGGAAGTCCAAGCTGGTGCACGGGATGCTCACTATGCCCCTCTTACCCCTATGTTCTCCTAACAGGCTACTGCAAATTGCACGTCTCAATTATGATTTTCATACGAAACGAGTTTGAAGTTCATACGAGGCTACAATGAACTTCATTAGTTCACCTTGTGTGAAAAAATCATAATTTGTTCGTATGAAATCTCGATGAACATTTCAAATGGTCCTATCTGCTTTGATCGATTCTCTTAATCGACTTTCTCTTTCGTTAATAACTCAGCTGCAAAACCTTTCCCTGTTGTATTTGACGTTTTGGACGCTAGATAAGAACCTCCTTTATCAAACTATGTGATAGAATTAGCGCGAAATCTGTTTGCATAGCAGTGGTTATAAAAAGAGAAAGTCGATGAAGAGAATCGATCAAAGCAGATAGGACCATTTGAAATGTTCATCGAGAAATGATCGTATGACGTTTGCTCAAAGCAAACCAATCACCCCTATTCTGTATTTCGTTTCGAACGAAATTCTCATACAAAAAAATATTTTTTTGTATGAGAATTTCGTTCGAAACGAAATACAGAATAGGGGTGAATATACACTGAACGAAAACATCCGCAATACTTCGACTGATTATTGTATTGCTCGAGCCCTTTTACAATATGCTGTCGAATTTCGGATGATTTCCTTATGGTTGAATTCATCATCAACTGATGAGCATCCATATGATTGTCCTCCAAACAAAGGATGATATTTATTTAAAAATTGGCTGTAACACATACAGGGCTCAAAGGACAACAAATTTAGGATACGATGGCTTGCAAATGCTTTAGATTAGATTATTAATTCGATTGTTTACATTTCCATATTGAATACTAGTTGGTAGAGGATTGGGCGATCTTTTTCATCCCGATTTAAGATTTTTCGGATCGATTCTTTGTCCAAGAAAAGATCGAAAAAATCGATCTCTTCTTTCGATCTTTCAAATCTTCAAATAGAAGTTAAATGTTTTAAGTGTATTTACATCGAAAAAACGATTTACTCTCACCACAGATTGTGCTGCAAATTTAACGAAAATAACGTCAACATCAGCATCGCTCCCTACAATGACGTCACTATTTGTGTTTCCGATATTTACAAATACAGCAACATTGGAAGGTTCGGGCTACCTCTCTGCTGTGCTCACCGCTCCTTACCGCCACGACAACATTTAATTGAATATTATAAAGGAAAGAATTTCTTGGGGTTCGAACGTAAACAAGCGTATCAAAAGATCGATTATTTGGTGCCGTAAAACGGGGTAATATTGATAGTTTTATGAAGTATTTTTTTTTATTTCTTTACTATCGAGATTTTCAGCCGCAGGCTGGTTCATCTCCCGTTTAATGGTAACATGGAGAGGGCGTTTAAAAGATCCAGTGAGGCCCCCCTTGGCAATTGAATAATAAATAGTTACAGTGGTTCATGCCATATTATACATATTATAAAGATGTAAAACAAAATCGTAATCCGTTAAACGTTGGCAAATGTGGGTTGTTGAGATGATAACAATATTGATGTTAGGGAGAATAGTCCGTTGGGTGTTTGCAGGATGATCAGTTGTGAAATGGAAAATCTCATAGCGTGGACAGAAGATCAGTTTTTCAAATTTGTGTGTATAGGTCGGTGTCTTTCAGGAAGCACAGCAAGGCAGATTCGTATAAAGGATCGTTACACCGAAAAAAGTTTTCATGTAGCTTCCATTGGAAACGCACATGATTTTCATCCATAATCAAAGTTAATGGAATTCATCTGAATTTCACATAACATTTATGCGATCACATTAAGGTTCTACAAAGGGTAAGTAATTTTGTGTTCTTCTTCTTTTTTAAATATCAAAATCATCATCATTAGTTTACACATACATTCATATATTATGAATACGAAAATTTAAAACATGTATTTCGTGGGTAAAACACGAAAATTTCCTGGGGAAAACACATTCACTGTATTTACTTACTTGTGTTCTTCGAAGTATAGCACAATTAAACGCAATCGAAAACACGAAACTCAAAACAACTGCTTCACAAAACTCTTGGTGAACAAAATTCATCACAAAGAAAACCATTTCTACTTTACTGCTTTGCTAGCAATCGTGAAAGTATCATTGAAACAGCGGTGCCAGATGTATTGCCTCTAGCAATGAATTTAAGTTTATTAAAACAATTAATTGCGAAGTCTGCCTTATTGACATAGATGAGTCGATGTATTTAATGGTGGATAAATATCAAAATCTGATTAAATAAAACATAAATGACCATTTTAAACATTTTACCGGTCCAATTAAAAAAGTCACAGAAGATTGAATTCAACACTAACAGGGTTGATGGCAGCAGTGCACGTAGCCTGTTATACACTTTCCCGCTCAGGGGTGTAAACAAACTTGCATACAGCGCAGTCTGGCAGTGCTTATGTTTTGTCTGCTACATTCTTATCCACTAGATAGTGTGACATCACATTTGCTGTTGTATTGAAATGAAGGAAGAAAAGAGATGGTTAAGTTTTCCTCACCATACCAGTTGATATTTATGAAAAATGGGCAGTTTTGGCGTGGGGACATGCACTTCCAATGAATTTTACCAATACATTTAGAAAATGATGATCGAAGAATATTTCAAAAAGAAGAAGTAAACAAAATAATGACCCTTTGTAGAACCTTAATATACATGATTTTTCATATGAATTTCATGGACCTCATAATATTCATGTGATTTTGTGGTGGAATTTGCTGCTATGTGATCATAGGAAAGCTATGTGAAAATCACATGGATTTCATCCATTAGATATGTGATAAATTTTTTGAGTGTAGAACGTCTCGCACTCCAGCGTGAATACCATACAGACGTCGATGATCCTCATACTTGGGACAATTCACAAGTATGTGTTCTGTCTGGCATATATCGCACCGTTTGTGCCTGTCGGGTACTATGGAATAATCGTGGGTGACTCGAGTGTGACCCGTTCTTAGACGCGATAGGGTTCGTTGGTCTTTCCAGTGGAGCTGATCAGTCCATTTCTTGATGTCACCTTTCACCTTTCGCAAAAATAGCCATCTTTCTTGTTGCCAGCTTTGGGACCAAGCATCTTGGATGATCGCTTTAACCCATGTTTTGACGTCGTCAGCTGGCGTTTCATTGGTACACAAATTTGACTCTCGACCGACAGACACCAGATGGTCAGCGGTTTCGTTTCCAGCTATTTCGACGTGTCCGGGTATCCAGGCAAATCGAAGGTTGCTATTAGCCGCATTATGTATAGCTTCTGTAAGTATTCTGTAAGACTCGAGCGCCGAAAGTACACTTGCTGAGTCAGTGAGGATTGCCGTCTCCTACCCAGTGAGCCTCAGAAACTGGAGGGAGCTCTTGATTGGTCAAATATTGAAGGAATTTGTTCGCCTCCGTGAGGAGGAACATTTCCTCATTCCCACCGATGGTGCGTTCAAGGAAGCTAACTGCTTTGGAACAGGTAGCGATGGTCATCAGATGCCTAAAGGGAAGTACACCGGTTTCGATGCAAGCAGCTTTTTCTGGAGTGGATGGGAGTAACCCTGA